AGGACCAGGGTCCAGAGTTAGGGATCATAGAATCCACCAATCCTGTCAAAGTAATATAGAGCCCTCCAAACAGTTGGGTAGAGGTGGTCTCTGCTGCAGTGGTAGGTTCTATTGGGTGGTCTGGTCTAGGGGTTAAGGCAGAGTCATGGGAACAAAGTACGCTGGCAGGTAGTTGTACTTGTTCTTAAACAATAAGGGTGGTATTTAAATCCTCTTTCCTTCACGTCCTATGTAATTGGTTTCTCTAGTCCTTGCCAATGGTTTGGCAATGATGATGGTTTCCAAGTTGTACTCTGATTAGGCCAGGTTGGGTGGATATTCAGTAAAATGCACAGGTCCAAAGGGGGCTCCAGGGGGACGGTATAGTGCCTGGGGCAGTTCAGCAGGTTGGTCTCTGGAGGGGGCAGTTGCCTGGTTGTCTACTTGGCTGGAGTTAAGATGGAAGATCACTAAGACTAGATAAGGTAGGATTTGTTCAAACCAAAGGTTCATAAACTTTATTATAAAAAATGATGATGTGGTCATCACCACACTGCCAGCGTTCTTATACCATGTGATTTTGCTTCTTTGATTTTTGCAGGCTTCAGGTCCATGGGTGGTTTGTCAGTAGGGCATGGATCTTGGCTTAGGGTCTGGAGAGCATCAGGTCCTGGTTGGGTACACTCTGGCAAACAGAAGTGGCAATGCTTAATTTTGCCACTGTGGTTCACCATGTCACCTAAGCGGGCTAATTGCATTCCTCTTTCTGGAATGGGGACTGGCAGCAGTTGGTGCTTATTGGCAGGGCTAGTAGTGGGTCTTGCCCAAGCCACAGCTTCTGCGTAGGTCTGGGCCCTCAGTGGCACTGGTTTGGCGAGTCTTGGCTGGACTGGCTCTGGGGAACAGAAGTGACAATGCTTTGTTTTGCCACCGTTGTTCACCATGTCACCTGAGCTGGCCAATTGCAATACTTTTTCTGGACTGGAGACTGGCAACAGCTGGTGTTTGTTGGCAGGGCTAGTAGTAGGTCTCTTCCCAATCTCCTTTAGGCAGACCACATCTCCTGCATAGGTATGGGTCTTCAGTGGCACTGGTTTGGCAGCAAACTGGCAACCATTCAGGGAATCCTCAGTATTAGGCTGGCGGGTTGCAGGGCAACTTAACAATTTGAGTCTGTGACTTAACAAATTGGCAGTTCCTGGACCCTCCTGGGGAACTGATCCGCCTTCAGGGGACTGGGTGTCAAGATTGACAATTTTCCCCTCTGGAAACCCAGGCCCAGGAGCAGGATTTGAACCCTGATCCTGGACCCCCTGGGCCACCGGGCCTATGGACCGCGGGGCCGCCCGCCCGTGTTTTTCTGGGATTGAGCCCCTACAAGCTGAGGCTCCTGCTAAGCCCTAAAGCCAGAATACCAGCACCAGCTCAACCATGGTGGCGCCCAAGGAGGAGCCTCTCAAATTACCTAATGGAGGCAGAGATGGCGCTTATATGAATTTCATGAGTTTGAAGTCCTCTCAAGTAACTAATCAGGAGCCAACCCAGGAAAGAGACACAGGCCCACAGCCTGACCCCATGACCACGACACTAGAGCAAGATAATCAGGTAGCCAAATTGAGATTCTTGACCAATGAAAGAACTCCCAGGCCGAGTGCCATTTTGCTGCCTTTAGACCTGAGTACCCAATTCCCCCGGCCCAGCTTTCCCCAATGCCCTGATGAACCCCCCATGGAAAATGTTAAGTTTGGAGGTGGGGTGCTATATAGACCAAAGGACCCCGCGCTCCAAACTTATTGCCATTTTTGAATAAAGGTTATGTTACTTTGGCTTATACAGCTAATGCCATATTTTGTATTTGCTGTCTATCAGTTCAGTTCAAGATCTCCTGGCCCTTCTGCCCCTCTGCCCGCAGTTTTCTGTCCACCTGGTGTCCCCTTTGGGCCTGTTCATTTTACCGTTTATCCATTGAAGCCTGAATATAAAGATTATAAGCCAGAGAAAATCCTCAAACTTGACCCATTAGCCCGCATCCAATCTGCTATCAGATATAACCGCCAAGGCCTGTGGATATTCTCTATCCCCCAAACTATTTAGAGGAAAATTCAACTATCTCCTGGCCTACAACATCTATATGGAACCGCCTGTAACACCCAAACCAATGCCAGCCTCCTCCCCTGACCTACTGACCAATCATACCAGCAAGATCTTTGGAATAGTGTACATCACCCTCACGGGGGTGATGGACACCATCATACCCGCCGCCGGCCCATGGTCTTGGGTGGAGAAGTCTGCTTTCTACCTTCTAAAGTTAGCTCCTCTCTTGTGGTGGGCCCTGCCCGCAAAATCCTGGCCCAAGTCACCCCCAAAAACGGCAGGCCAGCTGCCTGAGAGTGGATCCCTGACACTGGGGTTCAACTCTTGGGTTTTCAATACAAGTATTGAAATGTCATTCATGACAGTCCCCATGACTCCACCATTAAACTGCAACTTAACTGCCTAATGGAACCTCCTACTGCAGCCAAGACTATGTCCACCCAGCTGTTTGGAGCACTATACATTACTTTGACGGGAATGGTAGATACCATGGTGCCCAACTCAGGGCCCTGGTCTTTGCTTGGGCAATATGTATCCTATATTATCAAGTTAGCACCCATCCTATGGTGGGCATTACCCTCTGGACCAGCTGTACTCTGTCCCAAGTCAAACAATGCATCTACCTATGCCTGGCTTTCTGACAGATATTGAGACATCAGATTACTAGCTATTTATGTTGGAGTAAAATAGTGGGCTGCTCTGTAAAACCACATACAATGAGGATAGAGTAAACAAATTGAAAGTTGTTTGGGAAGCACCAGACCAAAATGAGCACAGGGTTTAAATATTGGCTTTTGAAAAATTATAGCAGAAGATCAAACTCAAAATTGACAATAAACAACAATTTTTAAGGGGAAATTGAAAAAGTCACTAACATAAGGGGTCATATAGAAGGCAGGACAGGGAACTGTTAAATGATCAGCAGCAATTTAAACCACAACAGAGGACAGTTTTCCAAACTCAGGGGCAACCAAGCCCAAATTTTTAAATGTTTTTGGGGAAACTTCATTTATTAAATGGTAAATCAGCTATCTAGAAACAAGCTTTTAGTGAGACTTGAGAAAACTTTTAAGGGGTATTAGGAAGTGAATGAGTGGATTTTGCGGCTTTTTATTGAATAGTTAGAATATTTTCAGTAGTTGGTGGTCTTGCATATGGGGTAGATCTATGAAGTCATAATCTGAAAAATTGGCAACCAGCAGGTTGAGTGCCTTTGATGCTAAATAATGAATAGTGGGTAATTAGTTTCGCAAAATTAATAGGCTGAAAAGAAGAGGGCTCCAGATTTTCAGAACATTTCAGGGTAACTCCTACTCTAACTTATTTTTTCAATAACAACATTTAAAATTTCTAATATAGTCAAGGTCTTGACAGGAGTTTTTTGTTGATTCCTGGTTCTTTGAGGGTGCATTATTTCTATCATTTGGTTTCTACTGTAACAGTTATTTTCATCTCAAACTGCTCTTAATTGGGCTTTTAATTCAACCTGTGCTCTGGCTGACCTGGTAGGTAATTTCATGTTTGACTCCCAGAGTGACTTTCTTTCAGGTCTAACCCCACTTTTAAGCCTGTGACATTATAGTGAAAAATTCACTGATTCTTTTTTATAATCAATATTCAAATTATTTATTAAGCTGCTGTCTGGGTTTGTAAATAGATGGAGATTTTCACTTCAGTGCTTGAGTTCATTTTTCCCAGAACTTAATAACCTCATTACAGTAATTTTTAGCCTGTTGAGATAAACAAAGTCATATCATTCTAAAACAAAATTAAAAATCAAGGAATTTATTTTAAATTACAATAGATTCAGATCCACTTTGATTTTGTTTTATGACTGAGATGATCTTTTTATCTTGACAGATTATAACATGTTTTACATATTAATTTATTAGTTTTCAAATCTTTAAAGATAAACAAAATAAAGTCAAACAAAAAGAAAAATCAACTAATCTGAGAACAATATCAATTCAGCTCTGAAAACTAATATATATCCATTTTATATGTTATTATATAAGTGAATTCCTTGTGATATCTTTTATCTTCAAGGAAATATAAAACTTTGTTATTATAATATATATAATGGCTTTAAAGTTAACTTCTTGTGGTAGTCTGTGTGCATATTGTGCAATATTCACCTGGATTGAATAATTGCATTATCCTGATAATAATGATAACATTTTTAGATTTTATTTTTAAGCTTAAATTATTACAATTACATGTCTAGAAAACAAAGTCAATCAGAAGCATGAATCTATTTATCTCCCAGTACTTGAAAAAAAACCACCCATATTACTATGTACTTTAAGCTCTGTGCTTAATATTAATAAAAATAGAGTTTGCCAAATAAATACACTCTTCTGTATTTCTAAAGTCCTAACATTTAAAAACCACTTTTCAATTTAGCCACTAAGAAACTCATGGAACAGGCCAATTAATACACCTGGTTCTACACTCTAAAAATTGATCTTTTTACTTTGATTGTTCACTTTGACAATTTGATTGCATGTACTTTTCTTAATTCAAGAAAGCACAAATATTTTATAATTAATCTTGTTTATATAGATTAATTTAGCATTATATACTTTTTTATTAACTGTTTTAATAATGATTATGTATTACTATCCCAATCAACAATCTTGATCACTCATGCTCCCAATGTATTTACTAACTAATGGTTTAGTTACACTACTTATGGAATATTAAGTTCTTTTAAGATAGTTAGAAATTCCTTGAATCAAACTTAATTTTTATTATATCCTATGTAAAGTCATAAAATACTAGAAAATTATAATGTAGACGTTATATTTAGTTTTTTTTAATATTTGATTGAAAAATTAGCTCTTAAACCTTATTCTCACTTGTAAAGTGTCCCCTAATTCAATGTTAAAAATTTAGAGCTACTTGAGTTAGTCTTTTTTTTAAAAAAAGGGCTCTTACGGGAACTGAACCCGTGACCTCCTCCACCCAAAGGAGGAATCATACGACTAGACCAAAGAGCCCTTAAAAGCCTTAATTTGGCAAAAAATTACAAAAATCTGATTTAAGCTCTTACAAAATTTGCTTTACTTCTAGAAGCTTAAATGCTTCAAACAAAACAATTATTTTTTCTCTCCTGTAAAACATCGTTTTGAGATTTCATAAATCATATCTTTTATAATATTAAAATTAATGAGTTCTGAAGATAATGTTTTTATCTTAGAATTAAATTGATTTATGACAGAATAAAAACAAAGATGTTAAATTTTGAAATCCAATTTTAAAGAAATTATCAAATAATTTAACTCTACAAAATGTTTGAGAATTTAAGACATAAATCTATTGATTATATATTGTTTACTAGATTTAGATAATATTATTAAGTTTAGTTTCACTGATTTTTTTGAAACTTTTTTGTTTCAGCATACAGTAGCTTTCAAACCTGTTGAGATAAAAATATATTAGTCAATTTAGAACACATAGGTTCAGTCACACAAGAGATTTCAACTTTTTTGACCTAAATAGAAGATAATTTCATGGAAAATGTGAGCTATTTAGCAAAAAAATGTCCAGTCATACAACAATCTACTCAAACTGGGGATGAATGTATAATGATTCAACAACAAGTGTACCAAACACTAGAACACATGAGTTTCAGTCACAGAACAAATCTACTATGTTAATGTCAAGTATATACTTCTGGGAAGTATAATAAACAAGATAAAGGGGAAAATTAAGAAGAGAATGATACTTTATTTGATATGAATATAGGATATTACTGTAAATTCAGAACCTAAACATAAAAATGCAAGATTGCCAAATCCTTGGTCCAAATTTTGAATCACTTTTGCGGCCAACTCAGCTGAGTGAGAAATAAAATATTAAATAAAATTAACCATTTAATTTGACTTTTTTGGCTTATTTAAATTGGCAGATTTCTAATCTCTTGAGCAGATAACTCAACTAACAAAATACAAAACACAACAAACAAATGCGGGATACATGAATCAGAAATGTGGGATTCTAATGTACAATTTAAGATTTCTTGTATTTCAAACAAATTATAGACATCATGTAAAAATTAACAAATCTGAAATTTCAGGATTGTCAAATCCAAGAACCAAATTTCAAATAAAAAATGAGGTGAATTTGAAATAAATATAAATTATGGGTGTGTCAGGGATCCAGTCTTGGGTGGCTGACCCGCCGTTATCTGGGGTAACTTGGGTCAGAGTTTTTGCAGGCAGGGCCCACCACAAGAGAGGAGCTAAATTTAATAGGTAGGAAACAGACTTCCCCACCCAAGACCACGGGCTGGCGGCGGGTATGATGGTGTCCATCACCCCCGTGAGGGTGATGTACACTATTCCAAAGATCTTGCTGGTATGGTCAGTTGGGAGGTCAGGCAAGGAAGCAGGCATGGGTTTGGGTGTCACAGGCGGTTCCATATAGATATTATAGGCAGGAAGATAGTTGAATTTTCCTCTAAATAATTTTGGTGTTGAGAATATCCATGGGCCTTGACAGTTGTATCTAACAGCAGATCTTATGAAGGCCAAAAGATCAAGTTTGAGAATCCTTTCTGGGGTATAATTCTTATACTCAAGCTTCAAGGGATAGTCAGTGAAGTGAATGGGCCAGAAGGGTGCACCAGGTGGACAGAAAACTGCGGGAGGACAGGGAGATCTTGTACTAAATTGATAGACAGCAAATAAAAAATAAAGCAGTAGCTGTATAAGCCAAAGTAACATAACCTTTATTCAAAAATGGCAATAAGTTTGAAGCACGGGGTCCTTTGGTCTATATAGCACCCCACCTCCAAACTTAATAATTTCCATGAGGGGCTCATCAGGGCATTGGAAAAGGCAGGCCCAGGGGAACTGGGTGCTTGGGTCCAAAGGCAGCAAAATGGCACTTGGCCTGGGAGTTCTTTCATTGGTCAAGAATCTCAATTTGACTACCTGATTATCTTGCTTTAGTGTCGTGGTCATGGGACTGGGCCGCGGGCCCATGCCTCTTTCCTGGGTTGGCTCCTGATTGGACGCTGGTGTAAACTTCAAATTCATGAAGCTAATAGTTGCCGCTTCAGTACCTCCATTAGGCGCTGTGATTAGTCTTCCATTTAGTGCAATAATTTCCTTGGTTTGGCCTGTTTTACTACATGGACCATCATTCTTGGTATCAGCTTGCGGGGGCTTGATCCCAGAAAAACGCAGACAGGTAATCCCGCGGTCCACAGGCCAAGCGGCCCGGGGGGATCCAGGGTCAGGGTTCAATTCCCGCTCCCAGGCCTGGGTTTCCAGAGAGGAAGAATTGTCAATCCTGACAGGGTGTCTCAAAAAGAATGCTAAAGGATCTAGAGTGGATTTTTATTAATTTTTTTAGGAATCATAGGCATTCTCAAAAATCATCCTATTCTATTTTAGGACAGCTAAAATTTAGATGCTTGATTACAATAAATTTTAAAAAAACGCTAATAATAAAATAGAATTATATAATACAATCTATTTTTATCATGTTGTCTTTTCCTTGGTGTGTTGATAGTTCATTTGCTATTGATAATGTGCTTGCAATTAATTGGATAGCTTCACTTTCATGAATGACATTTCAATACTTGTATTGAAAACCCAAGAGTTGAACCCCAGTCCTCTGAAGGCGGACTGCCCCCCGGGATGGTCCAGGACCCGCCGATCTGTTAAGCCACAGACTCAAATCAATAAGTTGCCCCACAACCCACCAGCCTAATACTGAGGATTCCCCAAATGATTGCCAGAATGCCACCAAACCAGTGCCACTGAAGACCCACACTTATGCAGGAGATGTGGTCTGCCTAAAAGAGGTAGGGAAAGGACCTACCACTAGCCCTGCCGGCAAACTTCTGCCAGTCTCCAGCCCAGAAGAAGTATTGCAATTGACCAGCCTATATGACATGGTGAATAACAGTGGCAAAACAAAGCGTTGCCACTCCTGTTCTCCAAAATCAGTCCAACCAAGAACCGCCAAAATGGTGCCACCAAGGGCCCAGACCTACACAGAAGCTGTGGCTTGGACAAGACCCACCAGTAGCCCTGTCAATAAGCGCCAACTGCTACCGGTCCCTAGTCCAGAAAGAGGAATACAATTATGCCGCTCAGGTGACTTGGTGAACCAAAGCGGCAAAATTAAGCATCTCTGGTCCCCAGAATGTGCCCAACCAGGACCTGATGCCCTCCAGACCCCAAGCCAGAATCCATGCCACACTGGCAAACCACCCATGGGCCTGAATCCTGCGAAAAGCAAAGAAGCAAAATCACATGGTATAAAAACACTGGCAGTGTGGTGATGACCACATTGTCATTTTTGATAATAAAGTTTTATGAACCTTTGGCTCAAAAAAATCTTACCCTATCTAGTATTAGTGATCTTCCATCTTAATTCTGTCCAAGTAGACAACCAGGCCGCCACCCTCCCCCAAGACTAACCTGGCAAACTGCCCCAGGCATTATACCGTCCCCCAAGAGCCCCCTTTGGACCTGTGCACTTTACTGAATACCCACCCAACCTGGCTTATTTGGAGTACAACTTGGAAACCATCCTCATTGCCAACCCTTTGGCAAGGACTAGAGAAATTGAATACATAGGACGCAAAGGAAAGAGGATTGAGATACCGCCCTTGCTGTTCAAAGACAAGTACAACTACCTACCAGCGTATTTTGTTCCCATGACTTTGCCCTTAACCCCTAGACCAGACCACCCACTAGAACCTACCGCTGCAGCTGAGACCACCTCTACCCAACTGAATGAAGTACTATATATTACTTTGACAGGTTTGGTGGATTCCATGGTCCCCAACTCCGGACCCTGGTCCTTGCTCGGGCAATCTGTATCTTACATTATCAAGTTAGCACCCATTCTATGGTGGGCCTTACCCGCCGGCTTGGCCACACCACAGCCCAAGCCGTCCAATGCCTCTACTTATGACTGGCTTCCTGACATTTACCTCCAGCCGCCTTGGCAATAGGAAATCAAGTTGCCTCTGCAACCACAGTTGGTCTTAGGGAGGCGACTTGATTTCCTATTGACAAGGCAACTGGAGGTGAAGCTATCCAATTAATTGAAAGCACATTATCAACAGCAAATGAACTATCAACACACAAAGAAAAAGGCAATGTGATAAAATAGATTCTAATATAATTCTATTGTATTATTAGCGTTTTCTAAAATCTACCGTAATCAAGTATCCTTGATAGCAATACATAAACATATAGTGTAGTAAACTGATGGTTTATCTTCCCCCTCCTTTTTTCCTTGAATATTTTCTAAGCTTTTTGGCCCCTGGCGTAGCCAGGGGCCAAAAACTTTTTAAAAATTTCTGCATCATCAGGAGGGTAGCTCATATATCATTATATGGTTTTGTGGTTGCTATATTAGTGATTTAGAGTGCAGAATATTACATCATTTCCAGTTTAGACAATTTTACATTTCACTTAATTTCTTGTCTAAACATGGTTGTTGAGATTGAATCTTTCATTTAATTTTATCCAGAGTGGAGCTTCTTGATTTGGGTTGATTTGTCCTAGTTTCTTACTGTACATTCAATTTGGATTCCAGTTATGAAATTAATATCTGAGTTTACTAGTGGCATTCAAAAGTGATTTGAAATTTGGTTCATGGATTTGACAATCCCGCAATTACAAAAAACATAGTAAACTTAATGAAAATGAATGATAGATTTGAATGCTTCAAAAATGATTCCAGTTAATTCATTTCATCCATTGAAAATATGAAGTTCAACTTAAAATTTGCAAAGTGTCTATGAGTTCCTGCATTTTCAAATATTCAAATAAATACTCAAAAAAATCAATTTAATTAAAAAAGGCCATCCCGCAAAAGTGATTCAAAATTTGGACCAAGGATTTGACAATCCCACTTTTTTACATTTAGGTTCTGAATTTACCGTATATAGTATTGTGGGAAGCCACATACTGTCCACATAGGTCATGATAGTCACAGGGCTTATCTGAGTAATGTTCCTCTTAATTCA